CACTTTCGAAGTAATATTTCTTTTACACGATTATGTTAGGAAGAATTAAAACATAATTTGTGATGGTCCTTCCAAGTTACTTTGTCCGTCATGGACGGCATCTTTCATATTTCTTCAGAAAGAAAACAATAATGTGAATGAAATCCTGGTTATAGTGTTATCATTTTACATTTTATGGTAAACTCCATGTTTTTTGTCGACATTTAAAACCCATTTTTCATAAACAGATGACAACTATTTAGTCCTTTTGGAGTAGAAAAAGGGAAATTATTAATTGCTCTCGAAATCAGTGATTAACTGGGCCTAGAAATACTTTGTAAATTTTAACGCCTCCAAAAGAAATCTTTAGTTTAATCTCCACAGAGAAACTTTTCTGTTTGACATCAGAAGAGGAACAATTTGCAGCTTATTGCGTTCACGTTTTCCTCTGACATGATGTGGATTGATGATAAATCAATTTGTATATCTACTGGGAAAGTTGGTTAACTGTGTCGTGTCATAGTTCGTCTCGTCTGAATCCATCATGCACATTTAAAAAAATCTACCTTTCGTCTGTGCATTGAATAGTCTTGCTTTATCTGGTCTGGTGCCCCAGCTATACATCTCGAGATTGTTAACAAAATTCTAAGAAGTATCTGCAATGTAGACGATTGTGATCTTGTATCTCGACTTCAGCCTTTTCCTAAACAACGTGACGTGGCTTTTTTCTGACTTTACTACAAAATATTTTCATGGCAATCGTTCTGATGATCTCTTCTCCATAATGCCTCAACAGCAAAAATTTAAGCCTGTTCTTAGATCGGCAACTAGGTCTGTTTTACTGTTGAACTAGCTAAATGTAACCGTCAGTTCTATTCTGATAATTTATTTTCTTGTACTTACACCTACAGAACCTAGGTACCTACAGAACTTCCTTCTGAATTATTACCTGCGACCTTCAAAATTTAAATGCAATATAAATCGTTATCTTTTGTCTTCCTGAATCCTTATCATTTTAATCATTTTCATTACTTAAAACTAATTTTTTTTAATTCTATTTCATTCTCTGTCATAGTGGCATTATCGCCTTGCTTGGGGAGGAAATGCTAAAAACATTATAAATTGGGTGCAAAAAATAAAATGTTGGCGATCTTGATTGATAAATTGTTGAAGATTGTGGAGGATTGTGTTTGGTTCTCAAGCGAAACATTATGAATTACCCAAATTTGCAAGTGTCACAACTTGTAAGACTGTCTGTGATAACAACGACAACGCACTTTAGTCTGGTGACTTCCGTCTGCAGAAGCGATATTCCTGTATTTATACGCAATACACAATATGGCCGACACGGTACTTCCGTGTCTGAACAATAGCTGAAATGGTGCTCCAGTTTCCTTAGTAACCGGTTACAACATCAAGTTTTCTCAATTCGAGGACATTGAAATTTTTGTGGACAGTTGAATATATCACATTAAATTGTTGAATCAAATGTCTGGTGCGCTGAATTGGATACAATTCAATATTTTCTTTCGCAAGTTTTTCAATCAGAGTTGGTACTCTTTCAGAGCGAGGCTTGTCAGAGTTGTCATTTTTACACTTTTAAAGCCATAGTCATACGCTACACAAACGTTTTAAATACGTTAAAGTAGTAATAAATTGCCGGTTAATGTCCGTTTCCCAACAAATCCGGACGTCAGGGTGTCTAGACAAACCAAATAGCCTGCCCAAGCACAGCAATAATTTTCTTTCTTCCTTTAATAAGGATACTAAGATACTTGTCCGTAATTCCGTGAGGATTCTATTAAAAACGAGTAGAGAAAACTTCTACAAATTATTTAATGTGTCATGAGTTAATAAACGTGTGTGTGTGTGTGTGTGTGTGTGTATGTGTGTATGTAATATATATATATATATATATATATATATATATATATATATATATATATATATATACACATATATATATATATATATGTATATATATATATGAATATATATATATATATATATATGTGTATATATATGTATATATATGTGTATATATATATATATATATATATATATATATATATATATATATATATATATATATATATATATATATATATATATATATATATTATTCTTATTATTAAGATAAGAATGGATGTCCATAATGCCTGATCATGAGCCGTTCTAATGTTCGAATAAATGCTTTAATTTCTGCTGAATATAAAGACAAAAAAATTCCAACATTTGGATATTTTTTTTACTAAATTGGTCCTAAGCTTTCCACCCCAGGAGCCATCCTCAGACTGGTTTTAAAGACATGAAACAAAGATATACAACGTTAAATATAATATTTTATTATTTCGTATGCGACGTTATATATATATATATATATATATATATATATATAAACATATATTATTAAATATTACAGAAAATATCTATATTCATATATAAATATGTGTGTGTGTTTGTGTGCGTGTGTGTGTATATGTTCGTATGTTTGGTTTAAATTCTGCTGAAAATAAGGCAAAAATTGTCGAAAAATTGGATATCTTTTATTAAGTTTGTCCTAAGCTTTCGGCACACTTGGGCCATCCCCAGAGTGGTTATACAGGCATGATACAAAGATATCCATCGTGAAATATGATATTTTGTTATTTTGACAGAGAAGATTGCTATGCGACGTTATATATATATATATATATATATATATATATATATATATATATATATATATATATATAATTAATACAAATATAATATCTTTCAACCGATTTGTGTTATTTTCAGTATCTCGACTAGAGTTTCGTAGACTGACCCTCCAGCAATGGCTCCGTCCACTCGTCAGGAGATGCCACTGAGAGGTCTATCTACAAAAGTCTAGAATTGAAACCGTGATAAAATATCAATCTGCTAAGTGATTTGTAGTAATCGTATTAAAGTTCTGTCTCTGATATAGAGCACTTTATTGCAAAGACTGCTCGCTTTAAATGACTGTCAATATTTCTGGCTTCACACTATCTTTGTTATCGCTAGCATCGTTATCGCAAGATTTACTGGTCAAGAAAAACAAACCATTTCTTAGGCAGACCCAAAACCACCACCATCACTACCACCGCCTCCGCTAATCTACCGACGACGCAGCGTGTGTTTTCTGGCTCTTCCCCAATCTGAAAACCAGATGAATTCTATGCGGATTTGCTTCTGCTGCTCCGCAAACACCTTGGGAACGAATTTGGCAGACAGTCTTCCTGTTTTTTTTTGTTTTTTTTAAGTAAAAATTCTTCCAATTAAACTTGAGGTAAAAAATTATGTCAGGTTACGAACTTATTGCTCTAAGCTTGTATTAAATTTATGAGGCAGAATTCAAATAAAGATAGAGAATAAGAGACACTGCTGAGTAAATCATGAATGCCAAGTATAAATTAGCATTCAAAGCCTAAAATCTAATCTGTCTTCATTTCTGAGATGACGTATTTATTGATAATTTACATTATTATTTGGACTGCTGTCCTCATCTTTATTGTCATGTTCACGACGTTTCAGCTGTTGTAGCTCCTGCCTTCTTCCGGTGATTGGAATTTCGAACTGATCCCTTGATTCCGTCCACAGTTTTTGGTTCACCAATGCTGTAGGCCAGGTATTGAACCCACAACACTTTGGCTCATGTCGCTGGATCCAACCAATGCTTTTACCCACTGTGCTATGTTTCCTTGAGGACATCAGAGTATGACTTCTTTGGACTTATAAACTAATGTCTCAGTAACCACTTTTACCAGAGCTCATACTGCAATTTTTTGTTATTATTGCTTTTCTCTAGCAATTCGTATTACGAAAACCTTATCAAGTTCAAAATATCGACCTGTTAAGAAATATCAAATTATGTCGTCCACGAAGCGCACTTATAGATTGATTTGTTTATCAACCATTTTTAAAGTTATTTAAAGCCGAAGCACATTTTGTATTCGTTGTCACCAAGTAAATGCTTAAAGAAATAACAAAACCAGTGTTGCAGCTATATCATATATCAAACAGTGAGCACGACAGAAGAGTATTACACGACTAGTGGGCGTGTATCCTTTGACCTAACGGGTGTGTATCGGTTGATCCATTCGACTGTTCTCTCCTACTAATCTTATAGTAGGTGGAAGAGTACAACATATAGTCTTCAGAGGGAGGACACCACAACAGTATTGTAATACTGTAATAATTCTTTTCTATGCGAACAGATATTGTATTAATAATTTTTGGAGAATAAGAATGATTTTTTCCAGATACAAGTAATAAAATTTAGCTTAAATTCGATCGCAGGTCTGTGGTTTCTCATTCCGAACCGCTAGACATTCATCTGCATACTTTCTATACACAGAAACATGCACACACTTATATATATATATATATATATATATATATATATATATATATATATATATATATAGAGAGAGAGAGAGAGAGAGAGAGAGAGAGAGAGAGAGAGATTGAAAGAGAGAAATAAGGGAAATGAACATATTCATTCATTTGTTTCAGTGATACTCTTAATGAGAAAAGTTATTTTTTTTTTAAATTATGTTTCACTTCAAGAAACATGTATATAACTTTAATGGAGAGCTTAAAAAATAAGATTGTCTGGGGCAATATTGGAATCTATTCAAACTGATAACTTTTGAATGTCAGAGAGATGCATGTCCGCGGGCGTTCTTCACGGAGGAATAAGAAGCGTTGAAAATGTGTGCAATCAACACGCTGATTGGTTATAAGGAAATGAGCGTTGGTGATTGGGGCAAAATGGCTGCCGTTATCGGTTGATGACTTTTGATTAAAATTCGTTATGGAAAAAGTAATAAAAGTGACTTCGAGTAAGAACTTTTTTTTATTTTTTGAAGTAGAAAGCAAGATAAAGAATGAAGTTGCCTAAAGAAAAGAACATTTTCAAAAAATGAGATTTAAAGAAAATGATATATGCAGACGATGGATTTAGAAATGTCGTATCAGGGGAATGTGGTAGGCGGAAACGAAAGCGAACAGAAAAGTTAAAAAGGCGCTGAGAGAGACAGGCAGGAAATGGTGACATATATTGATTTCTTGCGAAGAGATAGATAGATAAGAACAGAGAGAGAGAGAAAGAGAGAGAGATAGTTAGATAGATATGAACAGCCTGTGATAGATAGAAAGATAGATAGATAGATAGATAAGGACAGAGAGAGAGAGAGAGTTTCATAGTTATCACCATATACAGATATATAAGTACGCATAAAAATGCTTATAGATAGATAGATAGATAGATAGATAGATATGAACAGCCTGTGATAGATAGATAGATAGATAGATAGATAGATAGATAGATAGATAGATATGAACAGCCTGTGATAGATAGACACATAGATAGATATGGACAGAGAGTGAGAGAGAGTTTCATGGTTATCACCATATACAGATATATAATTACGCATAAAATTGCTTATAGATAGATAGATAGATAAGAACAGAGAGAGAGAGAGAGAGAGATACATGGTTAGATAGATATGAACAGCCTGTGATAGATAGATATATAGATAAGGACAGAGAGAGAGAGAGAAGAAAGAGAGAGAGTGAGTTTCATGGTTATCACCATATACAGATATATAAGTACGCATAAAAATGCTTATAGATAGATAGATAGATATGAACAACCTGTGATAGATAGACACACACACACACACACACACACATATATATATATATATATATAGATAGATAGATAGATAAGGGCAGAGAGAGAGAGAGAGAGTGAGAGAGAGATTTTTATGGTTATCACCATATATAGATATATAAGTACGCATAAAATTGCTTATAGATAGATAAGGACAGAGGGAGAGGGAGAGAGAGAGTTTCATGGTTATCACTAAAGATAGATACATATGTACACATAGAAATGCTGATAGATAGATAGATAGATAGATAGATATGAACAGCCTGTGATAGATAGATAGATAGATAGATAGATAGATAGATAGTGTTATACTGGAAAATACCTATTCTATTGTAAATAGACTCTCCCACAGATAATAAGTAGTAGTAGTAGCAGTCGCCAGAGGGCTCAGTGTAAGTTGATGAGTCAGTCGATGTCGGACATTAAAGTATCAACCACCACAACTAGATTTCTGTGTCATTAACTATTATTTCAAGTTCCTAACGTTTTGTACGTTGAACCTAATTTAGGACCGACTTAGTGAAATACAAACCTCCCCTGTGAAAACTACTCTACAACAGATAGATAGATAGTTTCATGGTTATCAACAAAAATGGATACATATGTACACATAGAAATGCTTAGAGATAGATAGATAGATAGATATGAACAGAAGCGAGTGAGAATAGATAGATAGATAGATAGATAGATAGATAGATAGATAGTTTCATGGTTATCAACAAAAATGGATACATATGTACACATAGAAATGCTTATAGATAAATAGATAGATACATAGATAGATCGAACGATAGATAGATTAAAGAGACAAGGTTAGGAAACGTATATGGACAGTTTAAATATGATTCAATTTATACAAGCTGAACGTACAAATAATTTGGCGAGATTACAATAAATGATCTCCTTGTGAGTTAAATACCCGCACATGTTCTGAAATAAGAGATATATCAATATGCACTTGATGCTATATTAACAGTTTGATCATACAGATAAAGAAATCCATCTTGCAATAATTGTTTGTCTTGCTCTGTTGATGTATCTTACTAAGACTAGTAATTCGTCTCACTAAACTAGTCAGACGTCGTAACGTCATGTCCAATAAATGTTCATTGGTGGACACAGGATTTTGTGACACTGGCAGCCAGTTTAAACTATTGAGCTTTTTGCATATATATATATAATAACCTGTTTCAGGAATTGAAACACAAAAATTTCAAGCATATTCTGAATGTACGTGCTGCCGTTCATCGTTCCCCAACAATCGGCACAAGCGACCGACCGTTGTAAAGGATGACCCTTCTGATTATGATCCATTATTTAGGCTTGTGTGTTGTGCTTGTCTGGGTATGTTGTTCCGTCAGGTCGTCGTTACACGCGAAATCGAACATCACTTGCAAGAAGTCAAAATGCATTTATGTATTAGGTTGGTACAAAAATAATGACGTAATAATGTCGTTTTTTGACGTATTTTTTAACGTCCAAAAACGACATTAATACGTCATTATTTTTGCACCAACCTAATATTATCCGACGAGAAACGGGCTTGATGAAAATGCAGACTCGTCTCATCCCGGAACTTATAGGCAAGACAATAAACGCTAAGATTGTTTAAGTTTAACTAGTATGGATAAAAAACATAAAAAATAGGTATTGGGCTAATAATACGAAACTTGTTTTAGAAAAAGTTTCGTTTAAATTTTGTTTATCAATCTCTATGGGATATTTGATGCCTAAATCTAAATATTTTGAACACAATTTTATGCCTTCATCTGCATATATCTTGTATGTAATTTTATGGTTGCAACTAGATATATTTTGTACATGTTATAAGTTGACGTAAGTTTTATAGATATATAGTTTGTAGATAAAATGTACTGTAAATGCAATTGTATTATAAAAAAAGTTTTTTTGTTTGGGTATTTGCGTATAGCCGGGACCCTAATAGGTACTGCCACGCAGAGTAGACTTGGGAATAGCGGGAGTTAAAAGGTGGTTCCACGTTCCTCCTATCTCCTAATCAAAGGCCTTAATGCTGGATGCATTTTATTTTCATACCCAAAACTGAATTTTTTTTTTTAAATTAATTAAAAAATTTCTGAACATTTTTAGTTGGAATAAGATTCAGTTAGTTAAGTGTCATACGTGATACACGGATGGGCGATCTGTCTCTTTCGATTCAGCAATAGCTCGACAGAAGATATTCCCGTAGTAGGTTACCAATTATTTCTGCGGTAGACTGGTTGCCAAACAAGGCTATATAACCAGTCTGTACTGCTATTCTATAGAGAATAGATAATTTAAAACCCTCCCAAATGTTATTTACGCGTAAGGAAGTGTAATGAACCTGACTGGAATTAAAACTAGGTTGACTTCTTTCTCATTCCGAGGCGTTATCTGTTACACAAAACCGACATAATGTTTCTCTTGCAATAAAATCAGTCGATATTAGGTGTGAAGACTATTTCAAGATCCGGGTATTCACGGCCCGCTTATTTTGTCAGGTTTTAATGGTGTCACTCCACCGAACGCCTAAATCTTCGATTCCAGACAAAAAGAGAAAGAGTCTCAATTAAGATGCTGGTTGAGTTTGTATTCGTCTTATGGACAGCTTTTTGTCAGGGAGCATTTGTTAACTATGGTGACGATTTTTTTCCGTCGTAGATTAATATGTAAGTGTTATCAAAAGATAATGCTGACTAGTTAAAGAAATAGGAAAAAGATTGACAGTTCTTAGGTCGATCATAATAAATAAATCATTTATCATTCATCTTTTTTCTCTCTCTCTCTCTATATATATATATATATATATATATATATATATATATATATATATATATATAGCTGAACGTATATATATATATATATATATATATATATATATATATATATATATATATATATAGGGGTATATGTACTTCGGAAAATGTAGTATATGAGCTACTGTTTTTTTCCGAAGGAAAATATCAACCAGAAAAATGTATATATAGGAATTTCAGATGGATGTTGGAAGCAACGTTTTTACAATCTCCCGCATTCCTTCAGCAATTTCCTCTGTGGGATACCAAACAGCTCTGTCTAGACATTAATGGAATCTCAAAGATGGAGGCTTCACCCCACAAATAAAATAGAGGATCATCTGTAAATCTCGGACTCCCAACAACTTCAGGGACAAATGCAATCTTTGCATTATAGAGAAAAACATAATAATTAAATATTGAAGCACTGATTAATTATTAAACCAACGAAGTGAAATTGTCTTCAAGTGTAGACATAAAAACTGTTTCAAACTTCCCGAATAACATTTATTTTGAAGAACTTTACATTTGAAGAATTGGATGTTATACATAATAGGAACAAGTATGTATACATAATTTCATAGTGGTTATATTTTACTCTTTATGTGTTTTTTTTTCTCTACACCAGTTATAAGCTTAATTTATGGATTAGTTTTACTTTCTTTATCTATAATATTAATTTTTGTTATATATATATATATATATATATATATATATATATATATATATATATATATATATATATGTATGTGTATGTGTATGTGTGTGTGTGTGCGTGTGTGTTTAAATCTGTTATTAAACTTTGTTATCAACAAACATTTACGTATATGTATGAGTATGCATATGTATATGTGTACAGTTGTTTGCGTTGTTGTATATGTCTATTCGAATATATATGTGTAAATATGTGTATGTGCGTGTATATATATATATATATATATGTATGTGTGTGTGTGTGTGTATGTTTTTGTGTATATATCTGGGCCTATGTATGTAAATATATGTGGCTGTATGTATGTATGTGTATATTTTAGATTTATATTTTTATACTTCTATATCAATATTTATAGATATATCTATGTATGTGGTATATATATATATATATATATATATATATATATATATATATATATATATATATATATATGTGTGTGTGTGTGTGTGTGTGTAGAAAATAGGAAAGAACACGTTAGGTAAATAATCCCGAATTCTTTCGTATTTTTGTTTTTATTTTTAAAAAACAATGCTCCATACAGAAGTAGAGCTTAAATTATAATTATTTTTTTTAAATATGATTCCTTCGCTACATAAGAGTTCTCAAGTTTCAAAAACGAGAGCCGAAACCCTCAATATAATTATTAAAATTAAATTGAATTAAGGTATCAAGCCCTTTTTCATCCTCAAGCGAAAATTTAGGAATAACCTATCTTGAAGTTTACACATCTTTATAAGCATGTTCGTTCGCAGAATTAATTATTATGGAAACGGCTGGGGTGGCCATTGTGATAAGGGGTCTAACAGTTAATTCTTATCCACATATCAGTCACCTTCGAAAAGAGGTCAAGCCAAGGTAGGTTGGGGTATCTATTTCAAAGCAGCTGATGGCATTCATGTACGCACATCGTCTGGTCAGTTACAGCTTTTAGCACCATGATATGTCGTGAAGTGTATGGAGAATTTTGTTTTATTTTATTTTATTTATTTATTTTATCCAAATGGCTGTTTCATATATAAACGCGTCGCACTGAACTACAATTTGCTTTTTGATGACTTTATAAAGGGTTTTTCTATTTAATGATTGGGTTAAGCCTTTAAGCCCTTTATTAAACTATGAAATTCGATTTTTTTTAAAAGCTAATTATTTAATGCGAAAATTTGTTGATGTCGGCAAAAAACCATTAACTCATGTCAATGGTTTAATAAATTTTCATAATTTAGAAACTTAATTATTTGTAGGCACAAAGGACATGGGTCATCCCAAGTTTTACAAGTTCTTGTTCTATTTAATACTTTCCATTTTACTTTTGCTGTTTTATTCATTTCTTTTAAATGCTAAAAATATTTGGATAGAGATGTCTGATTTCTCTTTCTAATATTATTGAAGGAGCTTTTGTGTTGTCTCCATCTAATTTTAAATTCATTCTTCGTTGACCCAATGTATATCCTATCAGTGTTGGGACTTTCAATGGTTGAGATAATGCATTGGTATACCACGGATTTTATGTGGCATTTATTTTCCAACGGTGTGTATATATATATATATATATATATATATATATATTGTATTTAAATCTTCGTACTTTTATGTTTTTAATCACTTAAAATGGTTCTTTATTTATCATTTCATTCAATTAATCAATGTTTTTAGTTTTTTTAATTTTCTTTAATATTGATATTTTTTATTACTAGTATTATTTTTTAATCGTCCATATATTTTTGAAATTATAACGGTTGTAATCGATGATGTTGTTCCACTGCAAGAATTGAGTAGACGTCTTAATGTATATTTTTTGAATATGTTCCTTTTCGAAAATAATTTTCTCACTCTGTTATTTGTCACGTCTGGCGGAACAGGAAGAATATTCTAGATCAACCAATCGGCTGAGTGCTTAACACCTTTCTTTCCCTATCTTACTCTCTCTAACCCTTAAATGTTTCTATCTCTCAGCATCTTTTACTTCCCCCATAAAAAAACCTTATTTTGAAATTATTATATTCCCCTGTTATTTTTATACTCTTTTCTTTTTTCTATCTTCTACCCCTTTTTCTTTGTCCTGTGTTCCTTTTTGAATATATTAATTGTCTTTTACTTGTTATATCCAGATAAAAGGAAGAATATTCTAGGTCAACTAGTCGGCTTAAACTTTTACTTCCCTTTATTTCCCTCTGTTAATCTCTCTTCCACCCCTTGTCTCACTCTCTCTCTCACTCTCTCTCACCCTCTCTTAT